ACCGGGGTTCGATTCCCCGCCGGGGTGTGTTCCATTTTATAACTACTAATTATAAATCTTTATTAATCATTTATCATATTGACATTTTTGTTATCGGTTGTATAAAAGCATGTCCTCGGTAGTACAGTGGTCAGTATCCCCGCCTGTCACGCGGGAGACTGGGGTTCGATTCCCAGCCGGGGAGTACTTCATTTTATTACTAATAATTATAAATCTTTATAAATCATTCATCATATTGATATTTTTGTTATCGGTTGTATAAAAGCATGTCCTCGGTAGTGTAGTGGTCAGTATCCCCGCCTGTCACGCGGGATACCGGGGTTTGATTCCCGGCCGGGGAGTGTTTTATTTTATCACTAATAATTATATAAATCTTTATAAATCACTCCATATATTGACATTTTTGTTGTCGGTTATACAAAACTGTCCCCGCCGGGGAGTACTTCATTTTTTTACTAATAATTATAAATCTTTATAAATCATTCATCATATTGACATTTTTGTTATCGGTTGTATAAAAGCATGTCCTCGGTAGTATAGTGGTCAGTATCCCCGCCTGTCACGCGGGAGACCGGGGTACGATTCCCCGCCCCGGTTGTATAAAAGCATGTCCTCGGTAGTTTAGTGGTCAGTATCCCCGCCTGTCACGCGGGAGACCGGGGTTCGATTCCCCGCCGGGGAGTACTTGATTTTATTACTAATAATTATAAATCTTTATAAATCATTCATCATATTGACATTTTTGTTATCGGTTGTATAAAAGCTCGTCTTCGGTAGTATAGTGGTCAGTATCCCCGCCTGTCACGCCGGGGAGTGTTCCATTTTATAACTAATAATTATAAATCTTTATAAATCATTCCACATATTGACATTTTTGTGATGGGTTGTACAAATGCTGTCCTCGGTAGTATAGTGGTCAGTATCCCCGCCTGTCACGCGGGAGACCGGGGTTCGATTCCCCGCCGGGTAGTAATTCATTTAATTACTAATAATTATAAATCTTTATAAATCATTCCACATATTGACATTTTTGTGATGGGTTGTGCAAATGCTGTTCTCGGTAGTATAGTGGTCAGTATCCCCGCCTGTCACGCGGGAGACCGGGGTTCGATTCCCCGCCGGGGAGTACTTCATTTTATTACTAATAATTATAAATCTTTATAAATCATTCATCATATTGACATTTTTGTTATCGGTTGTATAAAAGCATGTCCTCGGTAGTATAGTGGTCAGTATCCCCGCCTGTCACGCGGGAGACCGGCGTTCGATTCCCCGCCGGGGAGTACTTGATTTTATTACTAATAATTATAAATCTTTATAAATCATTCATCATATTGACATTTTTGTTATCGGTTGTATAAAAAAATGTCTTCGGTAGCATAGTGGTCAGTATCCCCGCCTGTCACGCCGGGGAGTGTTCCATTTTATAACTAATAATTATAAATCTTTATAAATCATTCCACATATTGACATTTTTGTGATGGGTTGTACAAATGCTGTCCTCGGTAGTATAGTGGTCAGTATCCCCGCCTGTCACGCGGGAGACCGGGGTTCGATTCCCCGCCGGGGAGTACTTCATTTTATTACTAATAATTATAAATCTTTATAAATCATTCATCATATTGACATTTTTGTTATCGGTTGTATAAAAGCATGTCCTCGGTAGTATAGTGGTCAGTATCCCCGCCTGTCACGCGGGAGACCGGGGTACGATTCCCCGCCCCGGGGAGTACTTCATTTTATTACTAATAATATAAATCTTTATTAATCATTATCGTATTGACATTTTTGTTATCGGTTGTATAAAAGCATGTCCTCGGTAGTACAGTGGTCAGTATGCCCCGCCTGTCACGCGGGAGACAGGGGGTCGATTCCCAGCCGGGGAGTACTTAATTTATTACTAATAATTATAAATCTTTATAAATCATTCATCATATTGATATTTTGTTATCGGTTGTATAAAAGCATGTCCTCGGTAGTGTAGTGGTTAGATCCCCGCCTCTCACGCGGGAGACCGGGGTTTGATTCCCGGCCGGGGAGT